TAAAAGATAGACATAATCCAAAGTGGATTCATTAGGATACATCAATACCTACACAGGGTGCCCTCCCAAAAATATATATCCATTGTAAGCAATGTCATCTATGTACTGCTTTTCTAAGTTCATAGAAGTTCCATTACCTGAGTTCCATTACCTGGACATGCTATACACGTCCATTCTACCTGCAATTCACACACTTTTTGGGAATGATGGATTTTACTTCCAACAAGATCACTTAAAATGTGTATACAGTTTTTGTACTCTCTACATTTATTTTCATCGTATTCATTTTTCTCCTGATTCTATAAAGAGATGAAAACTTTTCCTTGAGGTCCTAACAGTGTCAGAGCCCCGTGCCTCCTGGGCCACACAGAGGACTCAGTCCTGCTGCTGCTGGTGTCTCCCTCCCTTTGCTGTTTCACTCCTTAATTATTTCCAGTACCACGGTTTACTAGGTCAAGACATCTATGCCCAAAGTCGCATCTCTTCTTCACAAGCGGCCCACGGGGCCCCCTTGGTGTCCCCAGCCCACAGAGGAGGAGGCTGGGAAATTAGAAAACTTGTCCAAGGTCATGGACAGCGGAGATTGCACCCATGGCTTGTCACACTCCACAGCTTCGTTCTTAACCTCTATGCTAGATGCCTCTTTACCCACATTTGACTTCAGTTTACATGCTCACAGTGTACTGTAAAAGCCACACACAGCTGTCCGGAGTCCTCTGTTAATCAGTAGCCGGTTGCATTTGGCCCACTGGGCAATGCCAGGTGCAGAAAGTACAGTACAGAGAGAGCTGCAGGGCAGCCACGCTCTGCCCTCCTGCCCCCTTCCCTTGTCTTTGCCCAGCCTAGCGTCCTCAGTACTGTCCAGTCCACAGGGCAGCTGGCTCACTCCAGCTGCGGCTACCTCAAGTCCAGAACCAATGCTGGGCCAGAGCCTCCTCTGTGAGAATTAGAAAGCTGTCCCTTCCTTAGGACCTTTCACTGTGAGGAAGGTGGCACCACACACACATAAATCTGCAATGTCCAGTGTGACCGTGATGTGAAAGTCACCCTTTCAATGTGTGATATGCACACCCTCCCCTGCCTGACCAAGCTGGGCAACCCTATCTGGGCCTCTAAATATCCCAGTAACACTGACTGCTTTCAAGGGTCTCTAATCTAAATAGTGATATGCCTTTTAGGCCTGGGAGAGGCTGGTGATTGCAGCAAATAGGAGGGAGGATTTGGGGGGATGTGGTTGTAGCTGAAAGCAGAAACCCAGGCTGCCTGGTGGGACATGGTGGCCACAGAGGAACACTGGGCACAGACATCAGGGAATAGCACTTGGGGGCAAGAACATCCAGAATAGTGTACACTGAGGTGGGTCTTAGAGCATGCACCAAGTGCAAGCAAAAATGCAGGAGCAACTAACTTCCTGAACAAAAGAGACAACTAAGAAAGGTTTCACCACAGATGGGAACATTTGAACTGGGCTTTGCAGGATGAATAGGAGTTTGCTATGCTAAACCTTTGGGAAGAATACTCTAAAATGAGTATAGTAGAGAAAAGAAGTAACAAAGCCCTGGAAGCCCGAGAGTGCATGGTTTCCAAAGACCCCTGTGTACTGATAAGACATACCAAAGGCATGATCCATGAAATAATTAATAAGCTGTTCTTAACTTAAAAACTGCTATGTGAAAAGCACTGTTAAGAGACAAACTACAGACTGAGAGTGAATATTTGCAAATAACATGTCTGATAGAGGACTGTTATCCAAAATATACAAAGAAACCCTTAAAATTCAACAAGAAAACGGAAAATATGATTAAAAAATGGGCAAAAGGCCTGAACTGACACCTCACCAAAGAAGAGATACAGATAGCAACAGAATATGAAAAGGTGTTCAGTCATGTGTCACAGTGAAAATACCACACACCTATTAGAGCGGTCTAAATCCAGAACACTGACACCACCACATGCTGGTGAGGAGATGGAGCACCAGGAACGCTTATTCATTGCTGGTGGGAGTGCAAAATGGTATGCCTTGGAACAAAACTTACTTCTACCACGTGATCCAGCAAACGCATTGGAAAATTATGTCCACACAAAAACCTGCAGGTGGATATTTACAGGAACTTTATTCACAATTGCCAAAACGTGGGAGAAACCAAGATGTCCTCTGGTAGGTGAATGAATAATAGACTGCTGAACTTCAGACAGTGGAATATTATTCGGTGCTGAAGACGAATGAACTAGCAAGGCAAGAACAGACAGAGAGGAACCTAGTGCTTCTTGCTAAGTCAAAGAGGCTAGTCGCTACATGATTCCAACTCCTTTGCTGGAAAAGGCAAAGCTATGGAGACTGTAAAAGGATTAGCGGTTGCCAGGAGTTGGGAGAGTGGGGAGGGACATATGAATAGGCAAAGAACAGAGGATTTTTAGGGCAGTAAAACTATTTGGTAAGATGCGACAATAGCGGATACAGCAAAAATGAACTTCAATGTAAATGGTGGACTCTGAGTGATCACGGTGTATCAGTGTAGGTTCATCAGTTGTAACAAATGCGCCACGGGGAGGAGGGGTTGTGTGGGTGAGGACCAGAAGTATACGGGGACTCTCTCTAACTTCCGCTCAACTTTGCTGTAAACTGAAAACTGCTCTAAAAATGAACTTTATTAAAAACAAATTATCTGCTTGGCCAAATCCATGCAGTGACATTCACACCCCACATCCCCCCCCGCCTCCTACCCGCCAATAACCCCTGGAGCTTGGAGAGGTAGGGGAGGCAGGAGTAGGGCCTGGGGACAAGAGAGGGTCGGATGGTGATAGAGGAGCGAGGACTGGGTGGTTTCCCTCCCCTGAGCGGGGCAGTTAGAAGCCTGTGTCCAGCTTGCGTCCTGGCTCCACCACCACTTTGCAGCAGACCGGGCAAATCGATGCCAGCTGTAAAATTGGGGTGGTTGTTAGCCCCGCCCACGGGTGCCCACAAAGGTCCCCGAGGTCACAGAGAGCCGCGGTGGAGGCGCGCGCAGCTGCGCCGCCTGGTGGCCACAGGCGGAGCGGCGGCTCGGGGCGGCTGCCTGGGGCTCTGCTCCCCTCGCTTCGGAGGCCGCCGGCAGCGAGGGTGGGCGCTACGCTGTGACTTACTAGACTAGTAATCAAGTGTCTCCAAAAGTGGCCGTGCTGAGTTTTTCCCTAGCCTGTTGTCTCCAGGCTTCTAGGCCGCCATCCCCAGGACCAGATTGGTGGACCCCATGGGAACCACTGTGCAGGACTGTGTCCCAAACCCCTTTACCCGCCCACCACTACTTTACCCAGGATGGCGACCAAGCCACTAGTCCCTCTGGCTGTGCAAGTTGGGTTCTCCCACTAAACACCCCAAAAGGCCGAGGGAGCCCACTGCAGCCCAGGGTAGTCCATTTCACGGAATCAGAGCTGCTTCCGCTGGGAATATGGAGAGGTCCTCTCCTGGGACACTCCCTCCAAGGGTAAGAAATACAGGGGAGGTCCCTGCCACCTGGTTTCTGAGGGAGGCTGAGTGTGAAGACATGCTTTACCTGACCCCCCCCCCATCTCCTCTGGCAACCCCAAATAAGAATTTTAAAAACTTGGCAAAGTGTGCATTTTAAATTCTCGAGTTGATGGTATTGGTCTTACAGCTTAATTCAGGAAAGGAGGAAATTAAGAGGAAGCAATAATCTTCTGGAGAAATAATGGATTGGCCATCAGGGAAAAATTCTACAGTCCATTTAAAACTCCATTTGTGAGGAAGAAGTATTTATTAATAACATCTTTCTGGATTATTTCCTGGTACAGTCCTCAGATGCTGATGACATCTTTCACATAAATGGGTCCCCAGCCCCAGCCCAGCTCACAGGCAGCCCTGTGCCTTCCTTTGAGGGAGCCCTGAGGTCCCCTCACCCCAGGCTTCCATTTTAGGAAGGATACTAATCCCAGGACATCCTGAGTGTGACTGGATTCTGGAGGTAACTGGCCCACAGGCACAGGTCTGCTGTCCCAGAGCCAGACAGAGGCCACATCTGCAGGGAGGAGGGGAGGATGGGGACTGCAGGGAGGTGAGCTGAGAGCTGCAGGCAGTGGTGTGTCTGTCTGCGGTTTCAGTCTGGGTTTGCACAGGTTGTGAAATTAGAGCACTCCAGCCTTGTTTGTGTAAATTTCAAAGGGCCGTGTTGGCTCAAAGTGATATTTGAGTCCATCATGATAGTTAATACCATTGAAGTCCCTCTGGAAATTGAGGTGCTGCCAGCAAACGGGCTCTGTGGCAGGTGATCAGGGCTTCTGGAGGGCCCACTATTCTGGAAGGGGCAGAGAGAGGGCCAAGGGCTCCCTGTACAGTGGCCAAGATGGGGAGCAAGCAGGGTGAGAGGGCAAGCAGGAGCCTGACCTGTCCAGGCCTGGACATGGGGGCTCAGAGTTCCTTGTGTTTCACACTACAGAAGCATTGAGATTCACAGTCCTGCTTCTTTTTTTTTGAGACAGAGTCTCACTTTGTCACCCTCGGTAGAGTGTTGTGGTGTCACAGCTCACAGCAACAATCATTCTCTTGCTTCAGCCTCCCGAGTAGCTGGGACTACAGGCGCCCACCACAACGCTGGCTATTTTTTTTTTTTTAATTGTTGCAGTTTGGCTGGGCCGGGGTTTGAACCCACCACCCTCAGTATATGGGGCCGGTGCCCTACTCACTGAGCCACAGTTGCCACCCCCCAGTCCCTCTTCTTAATGGGCTCAGAAATCTCAGAAGGACTTAGCTACATTTTGGTCATTTGAAAGACAGTAGGGTCAACTATACAGTATTTTTTATTTTTTTCTAATACTCTCTCAGGTACATTTTCTGCTTGAAAAATTGTTTATGATAAACAGAGAGTTGGAGAAAGCGGGGCAGAAAGGTAAAACCCTTGTAGTTCCAACTACAAAATATGGTGGCTCCGTTATCTCTGTCCATTACCATGACTGCAATCCCCGGCCACTTGCATATCAAAATTTTGTGTTTAAGTAGAAGAGCAGTGTTCACTTCAGCAGCACGTACACTAAAACTGGAACAATACAGAGAAGACTAGCCTGGCCCCTGTGTGAGGATGACTCACAGATTCGTGACGCACTCCATATATTTACGAGCTAGCGAAGAAGGAAATCATAGAAAAATTGGAAAAATGTATCCTGCTCATCGATCAGCAGAATAATCATTGTTAAAATGTCTGTACTACCCAAAGTGATCTATAGAGTCAATGCAATCCCAAAGAAAATACCAATGTCTTTCGCAAAGATCTAGAAAAAATAATTCCACGCTTTGTATGAAAGCAGACAAAAGCCTGAATAGCCAAAGCAACCTTAAGAAAAAAGGACAAATCAGGAGACATCCCTCTGCCAGACTTGAAGCTATACTATAAGACTACAGTAGCCAAGATAGCATGGTACTGGCGCAAGAACAGAGACATAGACCGATGGATCAGAACAGAAAACCCAGGTCTAAAACCATCTCATGTCACCATCTGACCTTTGACAAAGGAGATAATAACATATGCTGGGGAAATGGTGCTGGAAAAATTGGATAGCCACACATAGAAGACTGAAACAGGATCTATACCTGTCACCACTCGTAAGAATTCACTCTCAGTGGATAACAGACTTAACCTAGGACATGAAACTCTAAGAATTCTAAGAAGAAACCCTAAGAAGAAGATGTTGGAAAAAGTCTTATAGGAGGGACACCATGGGTCACGCCTATAATCCTAACACTCTGGGAGGCCCAGGTGGGTGTATCCCTTGAGCTCAGGAGTTTGAGACCAGCCTAAGCAAGAGTGAGACCCCTGGCTCTACTAAAAAGAGGGAAAAAACTAGCTGGGAGTGGTGGTGGACACCTATTGTTCCAGCTACTCGGGAGGCTGAGGCAAGAGTATCACTTGAGCTCGAGAGAATGAGGTTGGCTGTAAGCTGTGACACTAGGGCATTCTACCCAGGGCAACAGGGTGAGACTGTCTCAGAGAGAGAGAGAGAGAGAGAGAAAGTAAGTCTTACAGACATCAGCCTAGGCAAAGAATTTATGAAGACCCCAAAGACAATCACAGCAACTACAAAATGGACAAATGGGCCCCAATTAAATTAAAAAGCTTCTGCATAGCCAAGGAAACAATAGATAGAGCAGACAGATAACCTGCAGAATGGGAGAAAATATTTGCATGTTATACATCGGATAAAGGGCTAATAACCAGAATTTATAAAGAAATCAAGCAAACGTGCAAGGAATAAAACCAAACAACTTCTTTTTTTTTTTTTTTTTTGTTCTGAGACAGAGCCTCAAGCTGTCCCCCTGGGTAGAGTGCCATGGCATCACAGCTCACAGCAACCTCCAACTCCTGG